ACAGAGTTCTTGCTAGCAAGGGCAGTCTCAGAGACTCGCGCTGAGCTTTGCCCTGGTCTTTATTTATACTTCAGTGTGTGTGTGTGTGTGTGTGTGTGTGTGTGTGTGTGTGTGTGTGTGTGTGTGTGTGTGTGTGTGTGTGTGTGTGTGTGTGTCCTGCTGATCAAAGGGTCATAAAAGCACAAAAGATACATCCTTGGTCAGGAAAGGGTAGTCTCCCCCTCACCCTAAATAACATGGTGAGGAAGTCCAGCAGTTCATCTATATGTAAAGAAGCACTTAAACTAAAACAGACATAGCTACGTTAATCCTGCCGTAAAACAATAAGAGAAGGTATGACCTCTCTCGTGCTCCCAGGATGTGGGTGTGCATTCTAGTGTGGAATACACACCAAGCCTTTGCAGCCTGTTAGAGATCACACACAATTAATTATATGCCTCTAAATATACATGGTTGAATATTTCCTAATACAAATAACTACATGCAGTACTCTACCATATGCAAACGTATATCACTAAAAGATTATACTGACTACTAAATACAATTTTCCATTGACATAGTCTTTTCAAATTTCTTTGTGCATTAAATTTAACCTTGTTTAACTGCAGGCACATTGCATGTAAGATTCTGGTTTCCTTATTTAGTAAGGAATGTTTACTTCCTGCCATTTATGGGCTCACCTTGCTTGTATATGGTGGACCATTAAAAGGGTTAAGCATATACGGGGTGAGGGGAGATGACCCTTTTTATGACTAGGGATGTTGTTAAAACAGTTGTAACCAGGAAGTTACATATACAAACACAAACACACACACACACACAGTGCCTTAACTTTTATGACACACCATATGGGTTTTACAATGGGAGGGGAGACTGGAGTTGGCTGGGATCAGGTGGGGAGCTTGTAGCTCCAAGATCCTGACCAGACCGGCTTCCCTTGCAAGTTAAAATGGATTGAGGTCTAATTATCTTGCTTTGTTCACGGTGAACAAAGCAAAGCCTGCAAGTGCAGACCTAACACCGGGCTGCAGGGACAGCAGCCAAAGCAGAGAAAGCCAGACCTGCCTCTCCCTGGCGACCTCCTCTAGGTTATCAGGGGAACACCAAGGCATTAACAGGTCAGCCAAAAGGTATATTCTCTCCAGCATGTTCTGGGTCTGCCCCAGATTCTTCTTCTGGTGGGCCAAAACCACCTCAACTGCATCCTTTCGATGTGGAGAAGATAATCGGAGCCCCTTCCAGATGGCCAAACCTCTCACTAGGGATGGGTATCGAAAACCTTGTTGAGAACCGGTTCCCACTGTTTCAATTCCTTGGAATTGTTTGCCATTTTTGCAAACGATTCCCTTATCGATTCCAGTCGCCCCGAATGACGTCACCACGTTGCGGAGCGTCATTTACCTGGCAGGAAACATGGCGGCTCAAACGCTCAAAAGTTTGATTATACTTTACGAGAACGGATGACAACAGGGCAACTTGCAATACTTGCAAAGTAGATATTTCATTTAAGGGAGGAAACACTACGAATATGCAAAAGCATTTGCTCACAAAACACGCGATGACCTTAAATGAATGTCATGTTTTTAATTCCGCTCCGGACTCGTGAATCTCAACCCAGCAGCAGCGGTAACGTTTGCACGTCCTCTCCCGTTAATGCGGCAGGTAAATAATCAACTAACAGTGCATATTATGTTAGCGCGATCTGCCTTATTACAAAACCTGCCATTACTGTGCATTTAGGTGACCATGATGAGAGAGACAGACAGAGTCTGGCTGGCTCAGATGCTGGCAGTTCTCGCTGCAGTCTACCGGTAGCGTCTCCTTTCAGGCCAGGATAGACGAATGTCACCGAGCAGTGACTAAGTTTGTGGTAAAAGGCTTGCACCCATTTGCCACAGCAGATGCCCCCGATTTTCGGTAAGTGAATGTGTTTAATTGTAGGCAGGGACATTACTGGATATTCTTGTGTAATTGCTACAGAATAATTTATGTTATACTTTGTTATTGCTACAGAAGAATATTTATTTTATTATTTTACATTTACAATTTTTTTCCTGGGGACCCTGTGACACCCCATTGAAGAGCCGTAGGCTGTGGATCTCTTAAGATCTCACTGTTGGGTTTGTAAGGCCATGTTACTCCTAAATTTCTATCTTGTTCAAAGAGAAGATATAAAACAAAGTTCTAAGCTAATCGACCTTAGTGTTCTCCTTTTTTAAAAGAATCGATAAGAGAATCGATAAAGAATCGAATCGTTAAACAGAATCGAAAATGGAATCGTGAAAATCTCATAGATACCCATCCCTACCTCTCATCCTGTATACAACAACAACAACAACTACAACTACAACTACCTCTCTGCATTTAACCCATTCACTCACTAAGGGAGAGGCCAGCCACCCTTTGGAGAAAGCTCATGTTCACCACTTGTATCTGCAATTTTGTTCTTTCAGTCACTACCCAAAGCTCATGACCATAGGTGAGCGTAGGGAGATAGATTGACTGGTAATTCAAGAGCATCACTTTTACGCTCAGCTATCTTTTAACCACGACTGCATTATTGCGGCTGCAGCACCAGTCTGTCCTTCGCTCTCTTGCCCCCCTCTCACCTTAGCTCAAACCAATTTTTAATAATCTTCGCTAACCAGCAAAAGTTAATATCTGCCATTGACAGCTGCCACTCCCTTTTAATTTTGTTTTGTTGTGTCAATCCCAAATTATTAAATGTTTCTAGAATACTGGAACCAGATCTTTGGGCACAACAAATCTCAAGTCCCTTATCTCTTAAATTTGGCTTGAACAGCTAAGCCTCTTGACTGTGTTTGTAGGTGCCAGTCACTTATTACAACTAATTTTCTAACATAAATATTTTTAAGTAGAAGTAGTTCTAATCTGAGTTGAGTTTGGGTCTGGGTCCCAGTGGGTCTGTGGCACAATGTTTATGTGTTTGGTCTTTTATTTCTGGTTTCTTTAATGTTCTGAGGTTAAGATTGTGTTCCAGGTTTTGTTTCTTATTATAGTTGTAATTGCTCTATGCCACAGGTGTGGAACTCCAGGCCTGGAGGGCCAGTGACCTGCAGGTTTTAGTTGTGTCCTTGATACAACACAGCTTATTTAAAGGCTAAATTACCTACTCAGCATTTTTTGAAGTTCTCCAGAGGCCTGGTAATGAACTAATCATTTGATTCAGGTGTGTTGACCCAGGGTGTTATCTAAAACCTGCAGAAACCAGCCCTCGAGTGGAGTTCACACCTCTGCATGCCTACCTGTAAGTCAGGTTTAGTTTGTTATCTACAGGGTGGGCCATTTATATGGATACACCGTAATAACATGGGAATGGTTGGTGATATTAAAGTCCTGTTTGTGGCACATTAGTATATGTGAGGGGGCAAACTCCTCAAGATGGGTGGTGACCATGGTGGCCATTTAGAAGTCGGCCATCTTGGATACAACTTTTGTTTTTTCAATAGGAAGAGGGCCATGTGACACATCAAACTTATTGGTAATGTCACAAGAAAAACAATGGTGTGCTTGGTTTCAACGTAACTTTATTCTTTCATGAGTTATTTACAAGTTTCTCTTTGTTCACAGCCATTGACATGTCGAAGAGGTTACACAGGGGGGCATTCGTCTAAAACCCTGGTAAAATTTGCAGCCACTTCAGAGGTTAGATAGCGCCTCCTCACAGTTCGCACCGAGGTCTCCCGCTGAATAAAACCGGTGATGTTAAAAAACACACAGTAGTGGTCAGAGACAGCCAAGTCAACAACAGAGGACACGCTGGTGGACAGCCCATGGGTGATGACCAGGTCCAGAGTGTGTCCTCTGTTGTGAGTCGGCTGCGTGACGTGCTGGGTAAAATCCAAACAGTGAAGAATGTTTAAGAATTCTTTTGCTGCAGGGTCAGAAGGATTATCTATGTGCAGGTTAAAATCACCGGTTAAAATTATCATGTTATATTTTGATGTATGTGTACTGTTCTCTCTATGTGTTAAACTCCCTGAGTGTGAACATAGATAAACAGCCAGCCAAACTCCTTTTCAAGAGCCAGGAAGGTGAGCGTACTTGCTCCTTTAATGACTCCAAACATAGCAATCATCTTGCACTGACATCATTGAACTGGAGTGAAACTAGAAAAACACATAATACAAAACTCTTAATCGATTGACATATAATCAGCAGGTAAATATATTCAGGCACTTACACAGGAGACCATGAAATAAGTATACTGTAGATATGCAAACTGATATTACTACAAAGAAAAACAAGCAGGTAGTGGGTGAGCGTACACTTGTATCATTAGCTCAGAAGCTACACCCTATAACTGCACTTCAAAGAAGGTACAAAATAATGTCTCAAAACACCCTATTATTAATTGCTTAATATACAAAGAACTGACAGAAACTTACGACTATTGCTTTCTGAAGGACTCCTTTGAAGGATTGCTTTGGATTCCACATGAATGATTACAAAGTTGTAGCCATGCTTTTCCCACTGTTCTCTGCATTTTCTGCTTCCTGTCTATGCACAATGCAAAATAAAAGCCTCCCTGTCTATCCAGATGTCAAAATAAAAGATTCAATATTTTTCAATATATAACAATAGAAATACACTTTACACTTATTTGTGTCATTAGCATATGAACATATTGAAAACAGAACACTCCCCGTCTGGCATTCCCAAATATGCCACTTCATGATTAACTGTCTTTGGTTAACTTAGGACTCTCTATTGATAAGAGCAAAATAACATCACTTATAGGCCTTGAGAAAGTCTTTACTTTGCCTTGTGATGCTGTTCTGACTTCCACTTTGCGCACCTTCCCATCACTACTTGGAAAGGTGGTAGTGACCAACCCCATCGGCCACTCGTTACGAGATGACTGCTTCTGTTTGAGCAACACTACATCACCCACTTGTAAGTTGCGACATGCCACTTGCCACTTGCGTCTTGGCTGCAGAGTGTGTAGATATTCATTTCTCCATCGGGTCCAGAATTCATCAGCAAGTACCTGTACTTGCAGGTTTCTGCGTTACTATCATAGCGGGAGTCAGCAGCAGTGGTGAAGAAGGATCGGAGGAGACTGGGATCAATGGCCTTGCATTGATTATAGCAGACACCTCTGCCATCAAGGTACAGAGCACTTCATGAGTCAGGGAACTGTGTTTACCGTGAGACAACATGGAGTCCAGTATCCTCCTGGTTACACCAATCATGCGCTCCCACACACCTCCCATATGCGAGGCATGTGGAGGGTTGAACTCCCATGTACAGCCGTGTTCGTAGAGGTAACTCAGGATCTTGTCTTGACTCTGATCATCTTGTCTTATTCCTAATTCAGAACATGCTCCAACAAAGTTTGTACCACAGTCTGACCTCAGCTGCTTCACAGGCCCTCTTAAGGCAAAAAGTCTGCGTAGTGCATTGATGCAGCTACTTGAGTCCATGGACTCAATGACTTCTATATGCACAGCCCTGGTACTCATGCACGTGAGCTCAGCTCGCTTACTCTGAGCTGCTTCACCTCGAGTTCTTCGGGTGATTACCTCCCACGGATCAAAAACATCAAACCCTACATATGTAAAGGGAGGAGACATGCTCAGACGTTCTGGGGGAAGGTCGGCCATTTTCTGGACTTCCAGTTTTCCTCTCAGCTTTCGGCAGACAATACAGGAATGGATTACAGAGCTAATCAACCTTTTGCCGGCAACAATCCACAGGCCTTCCGCTCTGATTGCCCCTTCTGTAAACTGTCGTCCTTGATGTTTTATCTTTTCATGGTAATGGGTCACTAGCAATTTGGTCACATGATTCTGTTTTGGGAGAATGATTGGATTTTTCATTCCAAGACTAACAGTGGAGTGTTTCAGACGTCCACCAACCCGTAAAAGACCGTTGCACATGAAAGGGTCTAGCTTGAGGATTGTGCTTGTCTTTGAAATTGCTCTATTCTCTTGCAGTGCAACATACTCTTCTGGATAAGCATCCCTTTGGACCAACCTAAGTATGGTCAGCTTTGCTGCCTCCAGTTCTTCTGGAGTATGAAGTTTGTTGCACATATGCCATCCTCTACATGTATTTGGGGGGTTGGTACTGAATGATTGAGTCTGGTGGCTCAAGAAGGCAACTGCTCTCAGTAAAGACCTCCTGTCATGATCCTGGGTCCTTTTGACCCAGCGTTTTGTGTTTTCTCTTCGCGATTTTGGTTCTGTTCTCTAATTGGTGTTTACCCTGTTCCCCCCCGTGTGTTCCTGTTTTATTGTGAAGGTCTGCGTCTTATGTGAGTGTTTTCAGTTTGCCTCCCTGGTCTCGTCATGTTAATCACTCCCAGCTGTGTCTCCCACCTGTGTGTAATCTCCCTGTGTTCTCTGAGTGTATTTAAGTTGTATTTTCTGTCTTAGTAATCGCTGGTTCGTCTGTGTTGTTTCCCCTCGGTCTCCCCGTATGTATTTCTCCGGACCTCCCTGCATCCTCATTCTGGTTTGTCTTCTTAGTTTACCCAGTTTAGGTTTCCGGTTTCATGTTTTGTCGCCACCGCTGTTTGTACTTACACCCCTGTCAATAAACACTCACCTGCACCAGAGCTGCCGCCTTTTGGGTCCTTTTCTACATTCCACACGGCTTGCCCCAGCAATCCGTGACACCTCCAGGTGGAGAAGCGTTGGAACCTATTTGAAGTCAACTTACCCTCGGTTATATGGGTAGCACAGGATGTCAGCTGTGTGTAGCCCAAGTGAAAACAAAGAGATGGATTGTGCTTTCACCCTGGTAGACTCTTTGGCCATGTCTGTATCTGCTATACCAGATGAGTTTGTGAATGAAGATCAGTGTGGTGGGTTACCAGTTATTCCCCATATGCCAGTAGAGCAGCTAAGGGCAGAACAACGAGCTGACCCGTGTTTGAGGGAAATTATAGCTCAACTCGAGACTGGGGACAAGGTTCCACCCACCGTTAGAAAGCAACTTACTAATCAGGGAATTCAGTCGCCTTGAGCTACACAATCAAATACTGTACCGAACACGACAAGATGGAGGTTGTGTAACCTGGCAACTTGTTCTTCCAGAGCAGTTTCGAGACACAGTCCTCCATAGCCTCCATGATGATATGGGCCACTTAGGGATTGAACGCACTCTCGACCTGGTGAGAACAAGGTTTTACTGGCCAAGGATGGCTGCAGATGTTGAGAAAAAGGTTAAAACCTGTGATCGCTGTGTTCTGAGAAAATCCCTTCCTGAAAAAGCTGCTCCTTTGGTCACCATAAAGTCCACCAGACCTCTTGAGCTTGTTTGTATGGACTTTTTGTCCATTGAGCCTGATAGGAGCAATATTAAGGACGTCCTCGTACTTACAGACCACTTTACTAAGTATGCCATTGCCGTCCCAACTCCCAATCAGAAAGCTCAAACAGTTGCCAAGTGCCTCTGGGATAATTTCATTGTCCATTACGGCATTCCTGAACGTTTGCATAGTGACCAAGGGCCTGACTTTGAGTCACACATCATCAAAGAACTATGCAACATCCTGGGTGTTCACAAGATTCGTACTACGCCCTACCATCCTAGGGGAAACCCTGTAGAGCGTTTTAATAGGACGCTGTTGAGCATGCTTGGCACATTGGACAACAAGGACAAATCACAGTGGCATAGCTTTGTGAAACCATTGGTTCATGCGTACAATTGTACAAAGAACGACGTTACAGGGTACTCACCTTATGAATTAATGTACGGCCGTAAACCCAGATTGCCCATTGACCTGGCTTTTGGTCTTCCCCTCAGAGACGACAGCTACAAGTCACATTCACAATATGTGCAAAGTTTGAAGTCACGTCTGGAAGAGAGTTACAGGATCGCGGCACAAAACGCAGCAAAAATTGCTGACAAGAATAAGACCAGATTTGACTTGCGTGTAACCGCTTCTAAATTGGAAGAAGGAGACAGAGTTTTAGTGCGTGCTGTACGCCTAAGAGGGAAACATAAGCTTGCTGATAAGTGGGAGTCAGATGTTTATGTGGTGGTAAAGCAGGCGGGAGATCTCCCAGTTTACACAATAAAACCTGAGAACAGGGACGCTCCTTGGCGAACTGTCCATCGAGATCTCCTACTCCCTTGTGGTTTTGTCACACCCACTAAGGAGAAGCCTGTTATGACAAACTCCACACACAAGCCTGTAACACGGCAATCAGCTAAACAGTATGATGAGACTGAACCTTCTGAGACAGAGGAGGATACTGTTTGGTTTCGTGAGAGGCATCCCAGAGAAACCATTCGATTCACCACAGTGTACGAGGTTCCAAAATCATCCCCTGACACCGATGATGATGAGGCAGCACAGATAAATTTAACTGAAGACTGCTTAGCTGTTAATGATACGGTAGTCAGAGAAGACTTGTCTCATGGAAATGCAGAAATCATTCTGGAGGATACTGCCTTGGATGCCGTGAGTGAAAAACGCTCGGCTGCTGATGTACCTGGAAGTGGAAATGACTTAGCAGACACATCCACCTTTCAGGGAGATGTTCTTCTAAGCAGAGAAGACTCTGACAGTGAGCCTGAGGCCTTTAACAAAGAAGATTCACAACAGAGCGTGGGAGGTGATAAAACGGACACTCTTCTTCGACGTTCAGTGAGGGATAGAGGTCCGCCAGAAAGACTGCAGTACACCCAGTTGGGTAATCCACTGATATCTATTGTGCAATCCTTATTCCAAGGTTTGAGCTTAGCTTTTACTGATGCTTTGCAAGAGAGTAAGGAGGTTGGAACTTACCAGGAGCCACTCTCTCAAGTGGTGAGGTCACAGCCATCTCCCATGCAAAGGGACTTGCATGAAAGGCTGCTTAGACCACACGCGCCATAGCTGTACCTGTGGGGAAAACGTGGTAGCTGTTGAAACAGCGAAGCTGTTGGTGTCTGCTTAATTAGCCGCCAGATTTGGATAGCCGAAGCTAGTTTTATGAATACGAAGTGCTTTGCACTGGTGAGTAACGAAACTGTTATAGCTGCTGATCGGCATCCTGAAATGTTAAGGACAGGACAGGCTTAGGGCGTCGGGGGGTTCCCCGGAGGCATCTTCCTTGGGGGGCTCAACCCGGGGTAGCGGTCACGTCCGGTTGGGGGCTCTGTTGGCTCTCAGGTGACTGTTTCCTCGCGGCTGCGTGCAGCGGGGCTAGGGGAGGGTCTGTGCTGACGGACGTGGGTTACTGACCTGGCAACCTGGCTGCCCCTGGGTGGGTCCGGGATGGGCGTGAGGTTCTGGGGGCGCTCCGTCTCTGGGCTGGGGCCCGGGCCGGGCCTCGGGGGCTTGGGTCCTGGTTGGTGTGTTGCCGGGGTTGTGGGCGGGTGGGTGCATGGGGGCCCAGCCCTGGAGCAGGGTGCCGCCGGTGCGTCGAGCCACCTGGGGGGCTCTTCAACTGGTGGGGGGATGTCACATCTTGCAGGAGCTTTCTTCTCTTCAGGAACTCTCTGCAGGAGGGGGAGATACAGGAGAGGTGGAGGAAGATCTCAGCCTGGGCGTTTACCGTCTTATGTAGTCTGGAAGATGAGTGGATGGTGGGGTGGGTGCAGTTTTCTCTGTGGTGGGGTTGGGTGGACTGTCCAGGGCTCTGTGGAGCCGGGGGGCGCTACTGCACTGGGCCCCGGTCTGATGGGCCTGGGCCCCCTTTCCCTGGCGGGTCGCGAAGGGTGGGAGTGCCTACTGGGGTCAGCGGGGGAGCTGGCCCCAGGGAGGGGTTACCTGCCCCTCCCTTCCTTCCCTCCCCATCTCCAGCTGCCTCCCTCTTCCCGCTCCTTCACAACCACCCACACATGCAGGGCCTTGGAGTAGGGGTATGTCACCAGGGTGCAGAGGAGGCTACCCCCCCCTCTGTCCCCTTCTGGCTGCCTCTGCCTCAATTTTATCCCACAACTTAGACATTCACATTATTCACACTCTCATTACACATACATATAGGATCTTGGGGGTGGGCACAATCACGGAGTCCAAATTACCATCAGGGTGTATACCTCACCCCTGACGTCGTTGCCCACCTCTCAATTTTAAATACACTTAGTCATTGAGGGCTAGCAGGAGGGACTATGCGCTTACCTGCTGCTCCTTGGCAGGTAGCTCCATGCCCTCCTGGGTTTTAATTGCACCTTAGAACACATATGCATCAACACTACAATGAGCGGGTGGAGGGAGGTTTGGAGTCTTCTCCCACCCCCATTCTCTGCGGCCTGCTGGAGCGGGAGGGCTAGTAGGAGGAGTTGGCCGTCCGACTGCGGTCTGGGGTGTGGGGCCTCCCTGCTGCTGCGGAGTCGGGGTGGTCTGCCTCTCCCCACCGCAGGGAAAAGGGTAACACCACCTGGGTCTGGGTGCAATTCCCCCCTCCAGGGGCAAGGGTACCTAGACCCGGTTTGTAGAGTACGCTTGGGGAGTGTGATTGTGTGTACAGCGTCTCTTTATGTCTGTCTCCACGTTGGTTGAGTGTGGAGTGAGTGCATATGAGAGCATGAGGGTGGGAATGGATGTTTGTGTCTGTGTGTGCCTGTATGTCTGTGTCTATATGTCAGGTTGGGTATCAGACGCCACCTCTCTGGGGACACCTCAGGCCCTCCAAGGTTTGGAGGCCTATCTCCACCCACCACCACTTCCCCTGCCGGTGGCGGACTCCCTCAGGTGTCGGTGTGTTGGTGGTTCTTTGTGTCTGGGGGTGGGCGTCCGGGTACACACCGGCTCACTCCTTGGCGGCCGCTTGTCGGGGCCTGGGGCCTGGGGCTCGCTCGGGCCCCCTTTGGAGGTGGGGTGCCCCCGGCCTCTCGGCCTGGGGCTCGGTCACTCAGGCACAGCTGGGGGCCGGCGGAGCTCACGGGCGCGTCACTGCAACTCCCCCTGGCTTCTGCTCCGCGGCTGCTGGGCGAGCCCTCATCTGGGACTCTCCTCAGCTCTTACTGGAACAGTGGCGCGGCTGCCCCTCTGTTGGTCTTCCATGGTCTCTTGTGTTCTGGGGGCCTCTGGATGTCTGGAGTTTTGATCTCCTCCATACCCGCTTCACACCCTGGAGGACGGGGCTGTGGCCCCCCCACACTCCCTAGCAGATCATTACATGGAGAAACCTTTGGAATGCAAGCATGCTGATCCACACAGGTATGCACACAGGTGTACACATGGGTATTCACAGACGCGGACTAAAGCTTTCTTGGCTGCTGCCTCAAAGCACACTGTGCGCTGTCTATCTTGCGTGCTGCACAATATCGTTTATTATTTAGTAACTATTGATATCTATGACTAGCTAGTTTATTGTGATGGTGCTTTGTTTTCTCTACTATTATGTTGCTCTTTGTTGTTTGCTGTCTCCTCTGTTTGTTTTTTTTGTTTGTTTTTTTTTTCTCCATACAGGTGACCCAGGAGTTTTTTCTTTTTTCTTTTTTTTTTCTCTCTCTTCCCCCCCCTTCTCACCATCTCTTCTCCCCTTTGGTTTTCTTTCTTTCTCTCCCCCTCTTTCTCTCATTCATTCCCCCTGTCCTATTTATTAAAAAAAAAAAAAAAAAAAAAATGAATGTTAATGTTGTTCGCTTCAAAAAAACAAACGCTAATGGTGACGGTACTATGCAAGTAGCTAGCAAGTGTGCTAGTAGCTAGCGAGTGTGCTAAACGCTCACGCCCGTTGTTAAGCGTTAGTTGAGAACTTATTAGCTGTTGTTAGGTTAAGGAAAAAACAGTATGTCTATCTGTTGTAT